TATGTATACGCCGTGGAGAAGGGTCTGGCATTGAGATTGGGACGAGCGTCAATTATACGAGTATGCGACATCACCCTACCTAAAGACATGAGCTGTCTCTCATTGTCACGGCCATGGAAAACAATGCTTCCATTCTGGGTGTGGAATGCGACGATGCACGATAAGCTGTATGAATTACTATACAGTCGAGCGGCTGCGACTTGCTCCGACGAAGACATAGTGGGGGCGGCAGATCGGCTTCTCGCAGAACTCAAAGAAGTTGAGCCTTATGACAAGGTACGGGAAGACTGCATTTTTATGGCACTCACCCCAAAGATCACGAATGGTGGCTAATTCCATAATACAGGGAAACAATACGGGAAAGCTAGAGAGGCTGGAAAATGTTCTTGCAGTATCTCAAAAGGTTCTGTACTATACTACAGCAACTCTCATATCTCGGGCGAAGGTTATGCGAACCACGCCTCCAACTCTTTCGCCACAATGTTTGGAGTATGCCCGGGCTGCAATCCATGCACATCATGAATGCATGTCGATCTTAAACGGAGACCGGCACATCATGAATATTTACATACACTGGTGGGTGACACTCCATGTCGAATATTCATGGGCGATACTCATTTTACTGCATAGGAGAGTTCTACACGTACCTTTTGTGCCTGTCCTTGTATTGTATTGTAATGTGGTCAGCCAAGGCGACTCTGATGATTTGCAACGACTCCAGGAATTTGCTGAAGGGCTTGAGGTTACAGTCAATTTGTCGGCTTCTGCAAAGGAATTCTGCGAGCGCAGCAAAGAGCTTCACAGGTCTGCAATCAGCCAATTTGAGGCTGTAAATAGGGGTTCCTTCACACCAGAACATTCGATCTTCTCCAACGGGCTCCATCAGTACTTTGCAGGAAATGTGTTCCCTGCGGTGGACAATGAATATGGGACTGCGGATGTTTCTGGTGAAAGAATGCAGGCGATGTTTGGGGGGCAACATATGCTGGGCTTATTCTAAATATGTACCTTCTGAGCATAAACCAAGCAAGGCATTTGGCCTCATTCACTTGAAGAAAACAGGCTTTTGTGCACAAGACAACCACCTCAAGCTATAGAATGCATCCCAAAGCTTTGGTATCCCCATGACCTAGACATGGCAATGATGCCCAGATGGTGCCAACAGTAAGTGTGGTTGCAGCAGGAACTCGAATTATACTACTGCTGTGATGGTCGATACATGAAACACTTCTGGACGGAGGACCGACCGAAACGAAGCGGGCCCAGGTCTCGGTCCCCGAACGCTCCGAAACCTAACATTAGTCGTTCGAGCCCGGCAGTAACAGCTTCATGTCGACCGCTTTTGAGTGGATGTGCTTTGGACCGGACTTTGGAGATAATCGGCACAATGGAGGCAACCGAAAATGTCTTCGCCTGCTCCCAGTGAGATGGCATGCGTTACTTTCTCCGTGGCGCTCTATATAAACCCATACTTTATTACACGACTTCAGCTTTGTGCCTCACAACTCACCCTTCCATCATCTTTTCCAATACCTCAATATGTCTGTTGCTATCGCAGGTGGTACTGGAGGACTCGGACGCGCCCTTGTCGAAGCCATACAGGCTCGAGGCAATTACCAAGTCATCGTCTTGACAAGAAAGGTAATCAACCAACGCATACCTCTTGGCGAGACATCCTAACATGAAGGCAGGTCTCAGGAAGCCCCGCTGGTCCAAATGGCATTCGATTCGAAGCCGTCGATTACGCCAGCGTCGAATCTCTTGTCAGCGTTCTCCAAGAGAACAACGTTGAAATTGTCATCTCTGCCGTCAACAACATCACGGGAGAAAATGACGCCGAGCTCAATCTTATTAAAGCCGCTGAGAGGTCCAGTACCACTAAACGGTTCATTCCGAGTTATTTTGGGGTGCCGTATTTACCCGAGTAAGCCTTCTCTTCATGTGTGCCCCCGAAGACTTGATTGGGTCTGACGACTGAGCTTTCTGCCCAGGCAATATGAGACATTCCCTCCAGCAATGGCCAAGAAGTCTGCGCTGGCAGCGCTAAAGTCAACGTCGCTCGAGTGGACGGCTGTCTTCAATGGATACTTCCTCGACTACTTTGGGACCCCGAAGGTGAAGAGTTACATGGACGATGTATCCTTTTTCGTGGACGTTGCGAACAATGTGGCCGCAATCCCCGGATCTGGGGAGGTTCCCGTTGTCTTCACGCACAGCTTTGACGTTGCGCGTCTCGTTGCTGCATTGCTCGAAAAGGACAAGTGGCCCGAGGAGACGTATATCATTGGTGACAAGGTCACGTTCCACGAGATGGTGCGCTTGGCCGAGAAAGTCAAAGGTAAGTTCTTATTCTGAGGGCTCCTTTCTTGGCCAATCTCTGACTGCTCGTTCAGGTACCAAGTTTACTGTGGCGCATGATTCAGTTGAGGACCTTCGGGCGTGCAAGCTGACGGAACTGCCATCTCATCGCCAGTTCTATCAGATTTATCCGAAGGAAATGCTGCACAGTTTTCTTGCCCCTTTTGGGCTCAACTGCGAGCGAGGACAGGCTGATCTCAGACCCAGCCGCACCCTTAACGATGAATTCCCGGAGATCAAGGTATTGAAGGCCACGGACGTGCTCGAACAAGGGTGGGGAACGGCATGATGATAGCGACTCAACTTCATGGTTGCGATTGACTTTCAATATCAAATTCATGACATATCTAGCTTCCGATCCAAAAAAGCCCAATGTTAGATGCCTGACTGAGCCCGGTGCTGCTTGGATGGAGATGGAGAGAACATCAATATATGAACACAAATTTTGGAACGTCTCCGCGCGAATGATCCGATAAACCACACTGATTGATACGGACAGAAGTTCCAAACTCGGTGGCACAGGCAGGTGGCATCAATTCTGGTTGACGTGAACACGGCGGAGCCTCCCTGACTTGTAGTGGGGGTGAAGCGATTATCAATGCAGTGCAACCTCATGGTCTGGCTTGGCTTGGAATATCACGTCATCCCATAAGCCCATTCGGCTAGGACCGTCAGACTCTGAAGCGCTCGACGCTTGTACTCCACCGGTAAGGAACTTCTGACTGTCGCGGATGCATCCTCCTGGGTAATCCTGCCTTCTTGCAGCAATCTTGTGGCACAAGCTAACGGATGGGCATAAGCGCTAGATAGTAGTGTTCTTTTTCGCCAAGTTGATGGTTATCGGTATGTTAACGACGCTTGCTCCAGGGTCGACCCGCGGATACAAATAACCTCAGATTCATCGCCTCAAATGTCTGTTGAGATTGCTGTGCTACCAAATCGAACAGTACCACACTATTGAGGCTACTATTCATCGACATGGTGCCTCCCCGCTTCGAAATACCTGCCGAGTTCCAGGACAAGGTTCGCTACGTTGAACCTCTTGATTCCCGGTCAGACCACGAAATCCTCCAAGCCCTCGAAAGCCCCCCTCCAGTGACATCGGAAAAGAACATCTGGGCATTTTGGCATGCTGGGCTGCAACAGATGCCCGCCTGGTGTCAGCGAAATGTCATTAACTGGTCTCGCATCTGCGGTCCCTCGTGGACTATCCGTGTGCTCGATGTCGTAATCGATTCCCCGAGCCATGCTCTGAACTGGGTTAAGGAGGAAGACCTTCCTAAAGCCTTCACAACCAACACAATGGATGGCCCTCTGGGATACACTGACCCTCATAGCGCGGACTTCCTCCGAGGAATATGCCTCTATCAGTACGGCGGTGTTTGGATGGACGTTGGCTCAATTCTGTTCCGCTCGATCGATGACCTCTGCTGGAACAAGTTGGAGGACCCGAACACACCATATCAAGTCTCAGCACCGTGGATGTATTCAAGGGGTGTGGCGAACCACTTTATCGCTAGTCGGAAAGGCGATCCCTTCATTAAGCATTGGTAAGTTCGTGACTTTTCCCCCTTGTGCCATGCACCTACAGCTTACACTGATAGGCATGATCTCTTCATGACTCTGTGGAAGGATCGAACCAGTGCTGAGGGTCTCTACACGCACCCTCTGATGGCCCATGCTAAAGACATTGACATGGTGGAGTTTGACGCTAGAGGGTTCGCGTGGAATTGGGAAATCCCGATACCACAAGTACTAGAGTATGTCGCACAGATTATGTGCTGGTTGCGAATCAGCGTTTTGCAGGAGCCGAACGGCGGCTTCGATGGCGCAGGGTACTACAGCACCAAAGTGCTTCTCTTTGATGCACTGTGGGAGACTTGGCCTGCCGAGGCCTTGATCGGCTGGAATGGCGAAGAGCTTTTCGACCTCTTGAATACGAAACTTGATGCTGACCCCGAGTCCGAAGCTTACAAGAAAGCTTACAAGACAGTTTGGTATTTGATGACCTCTTCCACAATGCAGAAGGTCACACGCGCAGGAGGCATGACATCCACAAAGGCACTCGGGGCTTTGTGGGACATGAAGGAGAACGAAGAGAAGGATCGTGAGACAGGTACATTTGCGGAGCTTATGCGCTACGGTAGCGTCCATTTTCGACACAACCAAGAGCCGAAGTACGTTCCCGCCAAAGATCCAGGCAACATCATTCATAAGGGTGTATTGGAGCCGTAATTGACATTTCATGTGACGGACGGAAGAGACTCGACTGGTGGGATAGGACATGGAAGGACATCCCATAGAGTTATCAATCCTTTACGCGCCATGTAGACTTACATAATCGCAGATTCAACCAAGCAATCTTTGCATCCACCGACCAGACTGTATGGTCGATTTTGAGTTGACTTTCAGGTGATTATTGCGAGCTTTAAGAGGATTTTGAGATGTATTGGAACTTTATCGACGTCACGTGAAAGGTTTCGTTGAATTAGGAGATGGCTAGGCACATGTAATCCGAAATTTGAGATATTGCTGGCAAGACTAAGTGACATTTTGAGCTTCTGATCTGAACAAAAGCTAACACGATACTGCACATCAAACGTAGATACCACATCCTTTTACATCACATCAAAAGCTTTGACTTATTTGGGGCATCCAATACCCCAGCCGGTCTTCGTATCGCAGCAATCAGCGTCCTAGGGTGCAGTTTAGTTACGGTGACTTTTGTTTGAGACGGCTTTGAAAACTTACACATGTGTCGGAGACGGGAATATCAGTACCCTGACGCTTAACGTTGTAGCAGAAGTTGGCAGAGTTGCCTGCGCACCAAACTGCGTCGCCATTCTGGTTCATGCAAGACTTTTGCCCCTTTCCCCAGCAGCAGTCTGTTCGGGGATTGTTGAACCCGATCTTACACTATTCAATGCATTAGTTAGGTACCCAATTTGATATCCATGGATGCGTGTGGTAGAAAACCTGCCTCAGAAGCAAGAACGGCAGGGACGGCCACTGCCGAGAGGATGGCGGTAAGAGTGACGGAGAATTGCATTTTGAACGAAATATTGTTGGAGTTGTCGTTTAGTGAACGTTGTCTTAAGTGAGTGAAGAAGTAAAGAATGCTTTGTATCTGGAGAGGATGATGAGTGAGTAGCAACAATATCACTCAGGAGCTTTGGGGTCCAGTGTCTTATACGACCGTTCAATCTTAGAACCCACATCGATCCTTCCTGCTTGCCATCGGAAGCCTCGGTCATTCGAGTCAGACGCAATCACAATCATAGTTCTAGATGTCATCCGACTCAGTCTGAAGTGATCAATCAAAAGTAGTTCAGACAACATGATCAAGCTGAACTCAGTTCTGAGAAGGCGGTGCATCATCTGACGCCTCACGATGAGCACACGAAGCAGCTTAATCAATCACAGAATATCCACAACTGCCAAGGAATTCGTTGGTCTGCCGGTGTGTCGCGCTTTCCGTCTGCCCAAATATCAGACGATCCGCTGCAGGCCCGGTATGTATCTCGTACACGAGGATATATGACTCGAGCTATGCGCGCTTAGAGTGGAGCAATACCGAGCACCTGGTTGATGATCATCATCTGTCTCAACTTTACCGTCACGGACCACAATCCGATCTTGACACATGGGACGTGTCGATCTTCTCACACTCTGGTACGAAGGTTTTCGGGAAATATTGCACAGGCCGAGAATATCAGCGCGATCGGCATGGGACCCCGTGCCTGTCTAGCTTGCCTGTTTCGGCCTACTGCGTGCCATTCTTTGCAAGTGACACAGTTTGAGCTGCTTATCGCCAAGACCCTCGCCCCGTTTCTCACGCTACGAACATAGCAAGGCTCGCGCTCGGTTTCGAGGGACCTCAATTGTTGTTGCGAGGAGGGAGAATCCCTGTCACCCACGTCGGTCTGGGGGCGGTTCATAGGGCGGGCCCCAAAAGTCTATTTTCTGGGAACTTTTGGTGGAGTATCTAATGAGACTTTGATAACTCTAACACGGACTGGCGAATATCATTTGCATTCAAGTTAAGCTTAGAACATAGTTCTTGCCGCCGCATTGATTTCGGCTATCATTGTGCGCACATAGAATCAATAATTATAATCAGAAAATCGGCTCTAGCAACATCGTTGCGCGGACAATCATTTCACAAAAAACACCTCAGAGTAGTCGTCGTATGAGGGCCCTTCATTTGAACCCATGCAAACTCAGATCGAAGACAAGATGTAACAGTCCATTGCATGCTTCTAAATGTGAATAGAACTTCCTTCGTGATACGCTTTCAGACCCCAACACCTCCAGAAACAATTGTCATCAACCATCTATTTGGGGCAGCCAGTTCCCCAGCCATTGAGGGTGTTGCAGCAATCAGCACCCTATTTGCGTTAGAGCATCCCACAACTTTACCGGAGTCGAACTTACACAAGTGGTAGACATCTTGGCTCCGCTAGGGCCATCGACGTTGGTGCAGTAGTTGGCTGAGTCGGACTTGCAGAAGGACTTGAAAGGTCGTTAGCATGTTGTGTTTGAATGTTAGAAATAGTCCATACCGAGTCCTTGTTTTGGCGCCAGCAGGACTTGTAGCCATCCTCGCCACCCCAGCAGCAGTCGGCACGGGTAGCGCTTCCGATCCGGCACTGAACTGTGTTAGCAGATTCAGAAAAGCATGCTCCTGAATCACATACGTGAGCAGCCACGACAGTGGAAACGGTGGTAGCAAGACCAGCCAAGAAAATGTGAGAGAACTGCATTATGATAAGAAAAGTGAACGTTAACACGAGTGAATGAATTCTAAGGAAAGGTATAGAGTGAGATGGTGAGAATGATGGATGGCTGATGAACTGTCGAGAAATGTTAGGTAGGTGGTTGAGACTTCGTGTTATATATCAATTTGCAGCTGGCTTTGAAAGATGGTCGAAGGACGCCTCAGCTGCAGAGGCACCATCCTTTGGTACCCTCCAAGTGATTCATGGGTGACACCCATCAACATGGAGTTGGTGACCCGCAATGAAAGAAAAGCAGGTTCCCTAGTAGCATCGCCCTTGATTGTAGTCGATACTCTAGCCTTGGCCCACCGAGAGCGCTAGCTACTGCAATCGACAACATCGTCAAGGGATCCTGAGTCTTGCTACGGTCTAAGTCTTGGAGAGGTTATGCAAGGGATGCATAGCCAAAGGTCGGTGATGTGCCGATGCCTAGACCACATGGTGAACAGGACCTAAGCGCTGTCAGGCGAACTAAAAGTCCCGAAGGGCCATTTATGGGATGCCATTCCTATTAGAAACAGCTTTCTGTCCGAGATCTAGATCTTGTGAAGTGTTTAGTGAACACGTCAGTTCGCCGATATACGAGAATCGAGTCATGGTAGAAGTCATGAGACAGGCGCAATGGTGGTGGTACATTTCATCTGCCTAACTTGGGGTCGAGTCATGGTGGTCTGTGGAGCTACAGGTCCGCTCGGCACATTGGACGGGCCCACTAATTAGCAGGTAGTATTTTCCCATTTTCACTGTTTACGGCAGTTGAAGACCGAGAAACCTTATTTTGACTCGTCGATCTGGTTCGTCTTTATTTCGATGTGTTGCCAAGACCCTCGCTATGCGGCTTTGCGGAAGAGCCGCCTCAGTTTGAGCTGCCAAGCGACCTTACTTAGATGGTCTGGCATCTGTCTTCATCTGAATGATTGGACAAGATTTCAGCCAATCTTTCCCTCTGTACGCCTTACAAGAAAGTGGAAATAGCGGCCCTCCGTAAGACCCGCTCTACTGGTCTGGGTGCTTGAGACGACTCAGCCGCGTTACGCAAACCGCTGGAAATTCCCCCTTGAAATAATTGAACTTCTTTTGAGTTTACACGATCATTTTGAGACGCGCGATGTTGATTGCGATCTTGTTCACTGGCAGAAATGTTGTTGCTAGACACATCCGTGGTATCCGGGAAGTCTTGTAATACCGAGAGCGAAGACCGTCTTGGCAAAGTGTCTAGAATGTCTTCGTTTGGGCGCCTAACTTCCGGGCTATAAAATGGAGACTATTCGCTTCATGTCAGATCTTGTACCAGCACTTCACAGCACTCAATACTCAGTCTTTCTCTGTCAATCAACAATCACTCCATTTGCTCACTCTTTCCACTCTCTACTTGTCAACTTTGTTCACACACCTTAAGCCTTCATCATGCAGTTCTCTAAGATCGCTCTTGTCGGCCTCGCCTACACCACCGGTGCTCTCGCCTCTTCTGTACGTTAATCTTTCTCAAGCTTTCCAACTCAAACACTAACTTTGCAGTGCCGCATTTACGGCTGGCTCCAGGGCGAAGCTGTCCTCGATAACTGCTGCTGGGGTAAGGGCCAGAAGGCTTGCACCAACCAGAACAAGGGCGGAACTCCCCGTGGTACCAGCGAGGCCTACTGCGCTGAGCAGAGCCCTAACTTCTGCGAGAATGTCATGCTTAACGGCAAGCCAGTCTCTGCGACATGCGTGAGTTACCTCAAAGTCCCGCTTCCCACTCTTCTATCGTACTGACAACGTGACATAGGATGCCGACTGCTGCTCCACTACTACCGGCTGGGGTATTGGTTGCCCTAAGTAGGCAAAGGGATGGTTGGACTTGAGATTCCCTTGGCATTCTCGCAATGGCTTTGTACGAATCCATGAAGTTTCACGTAGAAGCGCGTTAGCAATAGCGAAATTGAATTCTTGCATTCTGCGTTAGGCGCGACTAGTCTCTCCCAATTCGTGTCATGTTGTTTTGAAGAAGCCCTGCTTCCGTGCGCTCGCTCAATCAAAGGATAAATTTTGATTGACAAGTATCCTGCTCAAGTGTCTTATCCAGTCTAATGAAGAGACTGGCGGGAGTCGGCATCAGCAAAATATGCATCCCAAGAGAACCAGTCGAAGGTCGCATCAAAGGTACGCTTGCGGCCCCTGGGCGCTTGCTCCCCCTCGACCATTGTTGAATCAGGAGCAACATGGTAAGTTGAGTGATGTTGATTCCCGGAATCTCCGGCTGGCCACGGTGGTAAGACCTCGGCAGGAAGCCATTCCAGGAATTTCCCTAGGTCCAGATTTGCAGCTGTACCGATGTCGTCTTGTGCCTTTCGCAGGCTGGCCGCAACGTCTTCATGGCCTCCGTAACTCAAGAAATCCGTGGATGGTATCCCGGACGGCACATTCTCGTTTCCATTCATGTTGGTATTGCTGGAATATGCATTGGCGCGCTGGCTTGCGTGAACCTGGGCCAATTGCAGGAAAACAGCCGCGACGTGTTCCAGTCGAGCGCAAACTGTTGCCAACAGACGAAGCTGCCCGCGCATCATGGCTAAGTACGAGACGGCTGTAGACAAAAGACCAAGATCCTGGTCCGCTGTAGAACTTGCTTGAAAGCTGTTCCCTTGAACAATATTTTCGAAGACGACGAAGAAGGGGATGAACGGGTAGTACAAAAGGTGCCTGAAATCCAATGCGTCAGTAACAGATATACTTTAAAGTATCCACGTTTCAAGAATGGGCCATGGTTCGACTCTTACCATACTACGCCGTTGTAAACAGACGCCCAATTAGAGACCATGGACGGAAGAAGTGATAAGGCTTCTCTTGCCGACTCGAGACGAATGCTTGCACAAGTGGGGTCCCCTTTGTGAAGGAGAATCACTATGTGAAGGTATTGGAATTTCATACTGCTGATGCCGAGTGACATTTCACGCAACTGCGTTTCTTCAGCCCATGGACGCTCTGCGTCCATAGTCTCCGTCAAGATCTGCAGAGGGTTTCATCTTTCAGCACCCGTGCTATAACGCAAATTCAGGGTTTCTCACCTTGATTGTTTTCGAATACCATTCATCAAGGTCTCTGCTAACCCTCTCCTTGGGAAGCAGGCTTTTCCCTGGGGTCAAGAGATCCAAAACGTACTCCATCATCTTTGCAACTTCCATCCCTGAAGTCAGGAGATGCGCCCCAAACGAGGAGATCAATGGAGATTCCCGGGATTTTCGGAAGGAAGAGGAATTGTGCGGTTGAAACTTGAGCATGAAGTTGAAATTCGGAAGTGGCACGTCTCGGTACACGGACATGGGCAAGAAGGATGATCGCCCAAACGCAAGCGAGCATGACTTATCTACGACAAATAGGAGCCAGAACATGCATAAACTCCGTTGTCGCGATTCAAAGTCCTGGTCAGTTGACGCATGCAGTCCCAAGGCTTCAGCCTGTCGGCAGGCGTGGCCTACCAACATCCAGGACAGATTAGGAGAGGCATAGTCTTCGCCATGAAGCGCGAGCAGGGCCAAGGCTTGTACATTTGCTAGAGTCGGCTCGAGGAAGATGGTGCTGTCGTTGAGAGCCAGTCGCATGTTTCGCCGGAACTGTTTTGCTTCAACACTCTCCCCACTCTCATTGGCTGACACCATGGCGAGCATCATGTAGTTGACGTACACGACCCAAGCCTTTTGTTTCACGTTGGCTGGGTCGAAGATGATCTGTCTCAGCAAGTCATCAGATGGGCTGCAGAAGAAGGGCTCCCCGAGAGGGGAATGCTCTAGGAATTCTTGAAGAAAGTCAGTAAATCAGTGTGAGTCGCGATAAGTTACTACTCACGGCCAATTAGTTGGTACCCAACTGATTTTGGAGGGACGTGGAACCCTTTCATGGCCGTGGTGTCCGGGCTTACAGTGGCCGTTGTAAGAGTGTTGGAAAGATATCGAAGCTCGGAATATGCACTGTGATGAGCAAAAGTAGATGGAGACTTGGTAACGGCATCTATATGAGTTGGCGTCTCCTTCAGAAATAAAAATGAGTGAGACGGTCCAAGGAATAAGTCTGGACCTTGCGCCTCGTTCAAGTTGGGTGTGACTTGATCCACCTTGCCAGTCATTGTTGCCGATTCGGGGATGGAGGATGAAACTGTATTGGTGGACTCTTGCGGGCGTACGGCAGACAGAACCTGTTCAACTGACTTCGTCAAGTTCAAAATCGATCGTTCGATATTTTGAAGTCGCTGTTCCAGGCCACCGATTGAACTGCTTGTTTCAGCCGGGCGGGAGGTTTTAGGCCTATTTCAGGTCTCGGCGTCAGTTTTCTCTGAAGATTCAAGACCCTACCGAAGACATTTCTTACTGGAGTGCAGTTTGGTCTTTCGTCGAAAGTGTCCTCTCCTTGTCTCGGGAGTAAGTACAAGCACTTGGCCAAGGTTTGCAAGCACTACATTTGGGAAGTTCCTTGGAGCATCTGATAAAATCATCAGCTCCTGTCATGAAGATCCATTAGAACCTTCGACAAAGACAAAGTCAATTTACCTGAACTTCTTCTGTCGACAATAATCGCACTGGTTGCAGGCGCGAGTAAGTGGTCTGCATGAAAGATCAATCCCAGGACACCTACCGCGAAGCGGGCCGCGCTGCCCGCCGACGGGTGTAGAGAGGTTTTCTCCATGTTGAAAAATTTTCAATATGAGTAGCAGGTTTATGTTGGAGAAGGAGCTGTTGTGGACTGAGAGTGTCGAGAGAGCAGGAAGACGGTTGGTGAAGTTGGCAGAAGATATGCCCAGGGTGAGGTGGGGGCCGCCAAATTGACTTATGACTGGTGGACTTCGGAGTGTGCAGCCGGACCTTCCGAGAGCAGCCAATCACTGTTCATAATCTCGGAGATCCAGAGCCTTTCCCCAACATGGATAAGCTGACGTCGTCAAGGTCAGCTCCGAAGTGCACCAATGAGAATAACCCAGCCTTTCCTAATCCGGCTGGACTGAGTGCGCTGCGTATTTTGAACATGGCTTTGATGGATACCTGCAGATCAGACGGAGCTCTGAAGATGAAGTTGTCCGTTAATCGTCCAGCTATAGATGTCTCCCTTCAATGTAAGATTCTTACTATATAAAGTCGACATGCCATCACCCGTTCCAACACGGCTTAGACAGCTTCAAAAGTCTACTCTCACACTCCAAGACATCAGCTTTCGGCGTCCCATCTGAAAACTACTCAAATATCGTCACCGGTTGTCTTCCCGACCTACCTTATCAACATCAATCCAACATGGCACGCACAGCAGCAGGCAAATACTCCGCGCCTATCGCTATAATCGGTGGCGGACCGTGTGGACTTGTCCTTGCGCGTCTGCTTGAGCAGAATAACATCGACTATGTTGTTTACGAGCGAGATGTGAATTCTACCCCGACGCCCATGTACCAAGGCGGCACCCTAGACCTTCATCCACCTTCTGGTCAGCAAGCTCTCAAGGACGCCGGGCTCTTCGAAGAATTCAAGAAGCTCGCTCGCTTTGACGCCACCAGATTCGTCATCCAGAACACGACCTGCACCCTCAAGCAGGACTTCGGAGAAGGGCGAGATGCTCCCGAAATTGACCGCTATCAACTGCGACAAATGCTTCTCGACTCTATTCCTTCCCACAAGGTGCACTGGAATCATGCGGTTCAGGGAATTGAGATGGGTACTCATGGTTGGGTGATCCGCTTCGTTAATGGCTCAACGGCGTCTGGGTTCCAACTGATCGTTGGAGCGGATGGTGCGTGGAGCAAAGTTCGTGCAGTGGTAAGACAATCCTCGGTTACTGTCGAATTCTAGGTTACTGATCTTCGTCGACAGTTAACTTCCGCCAAACCGGAGTACTCTGGCAAGATGTTCGTCGAAGGCCGCATCAGTCACAAGAACCCTAGCTATGCAGCAGCAGTAGAAACGTCCGGTCCTGGAAATATGATGGCCGTTGGTCATGGTCGATCACTCGGTGTTCAGCAGGTGTCCGACAAGTCATACCGCTTGTACCTGGGAATGAAGGCTGCGGAAGATATTACTCGGAACACTCTTCAATTGGCCGACACAGAGGGAAGCCGAGAGAAGCTTTTGAACAGCCCTGAGTTCTTCGCCGATTTCGCGCCTGAATTGAAGCAGTTCATATCCGATGCCGAAGGCCCATTTCGACCGTGGCCACTCTATCGCATGCCCGTCTCCTCAATGAACTGGGCTCGGGTCCCAGGCGTCACCCTCATCGGCGACGCTGCCCACGTTTCGACTCCGTTCGTGGGCGAGGGTGTCAACATGGCGATGTTCGATGCACTCAAGCTCATGAACAGCATCAAGAAACATTGTGGGGGAGGTATTGACGGTCAGTTCAAGGATTGCTCTGGCATTGAGACAGCTGTGGCAGAGTATGAGAATGACATGTTCCCGCGCGCACAGAGCTTCATCTCGCGATGCATTGCCAGCGAGGGCATATTCTTTGCCGAGGACGCGGCGGCAGAGTTTATCGACGTCATTACAAACGAAGCCAAGCAGAAAGAGGTATTCGGAGACAAGCTTGGACACATGGATGTTTAAGAGACTTGAGGGTACGGGAAGGTCTCCATACACGCTGGTATTAAAGCACTCCTTGTTGTCTAAAACATCGGATGTTTGCTTTTCACATTGATATAAATTCTGTATTGGATGAAGAGCATTTGCAGCTGTCTTTTTAGATTGGTATTATTTCATCTCAGATTGAGCAAAATGGATGCGGGTCTAGCCAGTCCTCAATCCCTACTTAGCTTTGCACCACGTATCATCCGTACAGCTTTCTGGACACCGCTGCCCGTATTACGAAATTATTTTCTCCTATCCATGGGGAAAATCTCGAGCCAGCGGCTGATGACAAACTCGGTTTCGCTTTTCCGTACGCGGAGGAGACTGGTATGCCAGCCCTTGCCGGCTGGGCTGTTGCCCTGAGCGGGTATTGTCATACGAATGCATGCAAGCGACATTGTCCTTCTGCAGTCCAGCAGGTGTGCAAGGATGCTTTAATGCTGTGCCGCATCGGCACATGCACCGGCGATAGTAGAACATAAGAACAGAAGCGACCGATACGTGGATTTGGTGGACTGAAATGGGTCTCTGGTTGGCACAAGAGGGTCTACGTGCCTATTTCGTGCAGATCTCCGTGCTAGCATTGAATGGTTCGGGCGATGTCACTAAAACGAGTCTTCGCCGTCATCGCTCACGGGTTGATCTGACCAGACTTCTGATTCGCAGATTGAAGGCTGCGAGCGAGTCTTTAAATGCTCATCTACTTGACCTTCCAATCCATCGAAATATTATCAAGGTACGATTGTGTTTGTAAACGACCTTTATCATGAAATTCGCGAATTGTCTCCGCGCTTTTGCGCCCATCAGCCTGTCTACCTTGATAGCGGCACAACAACGTCTGTCATCTACAGGCTTCAAAGGGGTATGCCTTGTGTCCAGTTGCCATGGACAAAGCTGTCGTCTGGATTGTATCGAACCTGCGGCTGACTTATCTGCACCTAGTGTGATGCCCTCATCGCTGCAGGCCTCGGTGACATGCTAGTCTTCCCTGCAGATTTAGGTTACCGTGAAAGCACATCTTCATACTACTCTTCAGAAAACAGACGACTGCAGCCTTACTGTATCGTTCAACCTCTTTCTACTGAGGATGTCTCACGCTCCGTCAAAGCCTTGGGTGCAGTCAGTTCCGCAGGCAACTGGGACATCGCCGTACGCTCCGGTGGTCACTCTGACTTCGACAACAATGCAGCTCATCGTGGCGTCACGATAGACCTTACCTTTTTGAACTCGACAACTATTCTTGGGGGCATTGGGGGAAATGCTACCGCAACGTGGACAGGGTCGAGCAAATTGACCAAGGTAAGTTTATCATACATTCGATACCTCTTTCCGAAGTTCTGACAAGATGCCTAACCTTTCGATAGCATGTGGCTCAAATACAACCTGCAGCAAGATGGGGTAATGTTATGAGCACCTTGGAGCCGTTTAACCTCGGAGTGACCGGCGGGCGCTCCGGTCACGTTGGGGCAGGCGGACTGTTGGTATCTGGCGGTGCGTCGTATCATACTCAGCTATGGGGTCTGTCATGCGACAACGTAATCGGGGTTGAAGTCGTCCTCGGCGACGGCTCCATCGTTAGTGCCAGCAACACCGAGAATGAGGACTTGTTCAAAGCTCTCAAGGGTGGCGGCAATAATCTCGGCATCGTCACACGCTTCGACATGCGAACATTCACCGTTCCTCCAGGTGGTGCTTATGGCGGTCTGCTCTTCGCCGCATGGTCCGACCTCAATGCCGTCAATGACCAGTTCGTCAAGTATGCCAGTTCTATTGAACAAGGTAGTTCTGATCATGAATTTATTGTCTATCGGTCTGATGCCGGTAGCCTTTCCATTATGTCCATGGCAGTAGCCATAGACGGAAACGAGCACTCGGCTACTTTCGAGGCTTTCAACCGGCTTAACCTTACGAGGGATATGCGGGCACGGAGACCGCTCAGTCAAATAGCCGCAAGCATTGCCGATACCGGCGGCTCCTACTACATTCCTTTCACCCTCACACTGCAGCCGACCATAGACACTTTGAAGAAGGCTTCCGAAATCTTTACGCGACTGACGGAGAGACTTGCCGAAGCCGGCGTCCCAGTATCGGTAAACTTCGTGTTCCAGCCATTGCCCAAGCTCTTGCATTCCGTCACACCCGGAAACAACATTCTTGGATTCGACGAGAACCTCCCCTCAGACTCGATTCTGTTTGAGGCAAGAGGAACACTTACTGCGGACGACGCTTTATTCCACGGCATAGCCAGAGCCGAGATGGCTAAGTCGATAGAGGAGTTAAGGACGTACTCGGCCTCGTTGGACGCTCACTCAACTTATTTATATATGAACTATGCGAACCCTGAGCAGGATGTTCTTGGATCCTATGGGGAAGAGAATGTTGAGTTTCTGAAGGAGGTCGCGATCAAATACGATCCCTCTGCATTCTTTCAGCGACGGGTGTCTGGCGGATGGAAAATGAGTCGCGTTTTGGCGCAGGAAACACATTATTAATGAAAGTCTTGTTGTGAGACTATGCCAGAGTCCAAAATCACGACAATAAGTTACAACTATTTACAAGAGTTCACAAAACATAAGATTCATAAATAAGAGTACAACGGTGCACATTTGATTGTGAAAATACATTCTATCGAGCAAGACTAGCCGTGCTTTGGTATACTGGGAAACACTGAACAGAAGCCGCAAGCTGAAGAACGCACCATTGAACTCGCATCCCTAGGGATGGACATTGCGCTCGCTGTCTGATGCTTCGTGTACGAAAGATAAGAGTTTCATTCTGTAACTAGCAGCAACTTTGGCATCAATCAGGAACTCTATTTTCTCTACATCACACTGCAAACATCCCCTCGAAGTTGTTCGGGCATTTGGAGACCCAGTTTATCAAAAGTTAGTGGGATTGGGGCCTGGAGACATGCATCCTCGCTCCACAGCAAATACGCGGGTGTCGTTTCCCACATGCCCTCGAACTTGTCCGCAAACACTTCCAAGATACTCTTATCTCTTCCAGTCATCGCCTCTCTTATCAAGCGGAAAACCTTGCCCGTGTACGGCGGGGTTGGACCTTTGCCTGGAGGCAAGTAAATTCTTTCGAATGTTGGGTTTTTTGCGCCATGGAGGGCATTTTCTACATCATCCATAATGATCGTGAGGCTTAAAACCAACGATGCGAAGTCCATGCTAGATCGGCATCGGAGACCGCTGATATCGTTCCACAAGTCGAGCTTGGCGATTTCCAAGTCCTCTAGAATCGTCTCGAGCTTGCTGTATACAGCCCTGGAGAGGTCCTTTTCGACTGCGGATTGCTCGACGTTGGCTTTCGCGGGCTTTAGTAGGCCCATGGTAAGAAACGTGCGGAACAAACCCTCCCCAACCGACATCTGATGCCCGGACCAATCATCGTCCCAACCGACTTTCTCGTACATATGCTGTACCAGTTCGGTAGGCTCTGACTGCTCACCGGTGAATAGGTCGAAGGATGTCGGCTCGCGACTAAGACGAACCGCGGCAAGTGCTGTTTTTGGCTCTAGTGATGTGTAATGTATCCGGCTGGGGTCCCAGTCCGCCTCTTGGTAGATCATTAGATGGGACATTTTGTTGAAGTTTACGTTCTGTCGAACGGGAAACGGGCAAGCTACCGCCCCAGCGACGGGTTCCATTACTCGTTTCGCTCTCAATCGCCTGGTTGTAGTGATATCTCCCCCCGCCCAGGTATCGAGTGCGTCGACGTATTCTTCAGCCGCTGCGTCTTTGCTTGGCCATTTCCCTTCCACATAGAGGCAGTGCCTGAAAAGGCCTCTCATAATAGTAGCCAGTGGAAGGCCCCAATCATGTTCCTTGCCTTCGTATCCGCCCGTATTATGAATCATCTGCTCGAGATGTAACATCATTGTCGGGACGGGATAAATGTCCAAAAAGCGCATGCCAGTGTTGTAGATGATCTGGAGGGCTTCTGCAAGACCAACACCGCATAGGAATGGAGAAAGAATCCATAGCGAGTGCGGCACTCCGAATCGGGACGGTGGGATAGGTGCACCCTCGAGCACGGAGTTGCAGCGCCCAAGACGAGATTCAAGATATTCGACGCTCCAGGAGAGGACCTCGGTAGCGGGTTCGATTATTGCGCCGCAATTATAAATACCAATTTCTTGCCGTCTCTGTAGCTTCTTGGCAAGTCTTTTGCAAAACCTAAGGTGCGATCTGGAACAGCAACAATCACCGTGAGCATGACCGGCGTCATCCTCGGGGCGTTCATCAATGATATCGTTGATGTCTCTGAGGGCCAGGAACCCGGCGGCGGGGGCCTCAAGGATATGACCCCCGTGCTGGCACAGCGACCACCCGGATTTCACAGAAGTGGCATCCACAATGCACTGAAGTTGGAAGACGTGCCAAGGAGATATTTTCAAGCTGAGGTCTGATCCTGTCTTTTGACTGACCAAGGAGGTGACAAACGCGGCGAAGTCAGTAAGACCGAGGAGAGTGCGCCGAGAGCCGGATGGGCCTGAAGGAGACCAGTCAACATCATCCGAGAAGCACCTCTCACCCCGCTGTGACTGTTCCCAGGAGGAGTACTCATTGACCAGGTCGTAGAGCCAATTGATGGTGAACTTTCGACGCCAGAGAATCCTCTCCTCCTTGGTGGCAGTTTCAAGTGAGAGCTTTGGGTCCCACAGGCCGATCTTCGCACGCATAGCCTTTGTGGGCTTCCCGTTACGGCTTTTCTGAAAGTCTGTGCAGAAATCCAAAAGGTCCTGGTACGTATACATCAGGAGCTGCTCCTTGACGTCAACCAAACATCCATGATGATCGCGATCAGCTGCTGCCTTGTCCTCAGCAACCTTCTGCAAGCGGTGTAGGCCTCCTCGAGTAAGAGTGTCTGTAATCTTCTCGAAGTAGCAGTGTTCGGGAAAGTCGTCAAATAATTCGAGCTCCGTCTTCTTAATCTTAGCAATGGCTACGTTTGAGACTGCTCCAGCGACAGCAGTGTTCAGATTCTTGTGGATAACGTCTATCCATAAGTCTTGTACATATTGTCGTATTTGAGCCCACTCCGTTCTGAACGATAGTATTGCCATGGTGTAGCTTAGCAACTGGTCATCTTCTAGGATTCGGTAACTTTCCACAGAAGCGTCCGCGCTAGAATCCGCCTTTCTGGCAGGTTTGCGTGATTTTCCAGGCTTGGATGTCTTGCCCTTGCCCTTCTTGCCGTTTACACGCTTCTTCTTTGCCGCCTTGGACTCAGCAACTGGCTCATCTGCGTCAGATTCGGGTTCTGAAGGCGGCTCTGGCTTGGAATCGCCATGGCTGAGATCGAGGGATGCAAATTTGTTGCTGAAGATTATGCCCTTCATCTCCTCAATTTGCTCTGCATCGGAGTCGAGACGCTTTGAGGACATTTCGTTGGCCTGCATCTGTTTCTCCCACCAGCTAGCCCCACCCAAGATGGAGAAAATGTCGATGAGGGAGTCGATGAAGTGCCTGTGCATGTCGTTGCTCTTCTCAATATCTGTGTCGGACCACGTGGATGCATGCTCTACGAAGGCGTGGTAGTGACTTCTCCTTGCTCTGACGATTGAGATCAATCGGCGAAAAGTGCTGCCAGACACTGCAGCTCCGCTGTCTGCGATCAGGCGGGCCATGGACACCAGGCCAGCCACGGTTGTCGCTCCGGAAGAACTGACTCCAGTGGGCAGCTGGGAGTTTTCGCCCGAGCGCTCCTGCGTTTTGAGGATGAGACTGGTGGTTTTGATCATCCATTCCACAAGATCTTGCGTATCTTTCTTGTATCCAATATAAGACTCGCGAGTGGCCACGGGACTCGCGCCGTGCGCCATTTCGTGGGTCGGGATAGCCATGGCCGCGGCCAACACCTTCAGTCAGATCAGTTAGAGTCACCGGACCAAGATGATAAACTGATCTGTCGTGTGAGTTGACAGGACGATGCCATCGAGTAAACCGTTTAGGGAGAATTCCTTTACAAGATTGATTTGCTGGGCCCGCATGGAGGGACACGTCGATGCAAAGCAGGCTAGGTGAAATATTTTTCAGTGCCGACCCCTGTCGGAAATAATTGGAGCCGCGCATACGTCACTATGTGAGGGGTTGGAATTTGTTTTTCTTTTTTTCTTTTTGTCTCAGTTAAGTTGGCGCTGGATGCGTTATGCCTCTTAATTTACTAGAGGGCGCAATATCCGTGATATAAAATAACACCCTGCAACGTTGTGACCAGCACGCCCCGATTCCGCCAGTTCAATAACGTGGCCCCAAATTCGGTCAACGTCTAGTACCTGCGGTAATCATTCTTCTTTAAAGAAGTTTGTCTAGAAACTCCTGTTTGAAATAGTTCAGAAATTCTTCCATCGTCTCCATGTTGTACGTCTTGAGAACTTTTCTGACCAATCTCTCACGCGGATGCTCCACATTCTCCCAGTACACCAGACTGTGATCGAGTAAAAACTTCATCTGCATCTGACCTGCCATTGCCTTTAAGCACTCTTCGTCATTTCCTTGAAGGGCTAGGTTCAGCAGCTTTGCTTTCTTCATGAAGGCCCACGGTGCACCCGGCAGGTAGGCTTCCTTGAACAACTTGTTGCCATGCTGTTCCAAAACCTTTTCGAAGTGACATATTGTCGTGCCAATGAAAATGCCCATTTGCATGAAGTCCATTCCGGAAAGAGGGAAAGAGCCGCAGATGTCGTTGATAAGATCTTCTTTGGCTGGGCCCAGCAAACCGGTAAGTTCCGAGTGTTCCCTGGGTGTTATGAACCACGCATTACTCTTGCTCTCGATCGCGGCGTGGATAACGTCAAGAGTGTGTTGAATCTTTGACATGCGTACAAGTAGCTCGCCTTTGTCGAAACCTCCCTCTACATGCCTTTGCACAAGCACGGTCCCCTCAAGTTGTGTATTGCCAGTTTCGGGGTCGATAACCTTTCTGGCCTTCTGCAATCGGTAGTACGCAAGATGTGAACCAAGGGCAATTTCGGTATCGGGGATGCGACTCGGATTCCAGTCTGCGTCAGCAAGAAGTAGTAGCAGCGACTTCCGTTTGTAGAAATTGTTCTTTTCGTGAAACCACCGATCGACTCTGTAGACATTGCAGTCTTTCGGGGGTATGATCTTTTCCGTGCGCTTGATCCGGCAAAGTTCCACGTTATGCCTTCCCATTCGGTTCAAGAGACTCTCTGAGAACCTAGACGTGGGTACAATGCCTTTGGCAAACACAGCATCCTTGAAATGGTCGAGGAATACCTCGTATAGCGGAATCCGGACGGCCATGTAACCCTTCTGCACCAGCATGTTGTACAAATGAACCATCATAGTCAACTCGCCGACATTATCCCAAATCCACATACTAGCCAGGTATGCAAGTTGGAGAGCTTCGGCGAGGCCCTCTCCGCACAGATAGGGCGAGTATTCCCAGAGGCCGTTGGCATTGGTGGCTGCGAACCGGGATCCTGGGCTTGCTGACTGAGTATCCGCAAGCGGAGACCTACCAAGATGCTTGCGTAGGTCCTTTTCAAGGTTAGACAACGTATGGGTCTTGAGGTAATGACGGTTATCCCAACCGTGTTCGTAGGTATCGCAGAGGAGATAATCGACTATCAGACGGAGACACTTAAAATATCCATACCGGTTACTGTCGGGGGTAGCAAAAAGGAACATTTGGAGGTCCCGATTTGGGCTGAAATTCTCGGCGGCCGCCGTAAGAGAGTGTGTCTCCCCGACCCCTTCAAAGGACCATCCCTTGGACTCGGTCATGGAGTCCAAGATGCACTGCAGTTGGAAAACATGGTGCGGCAAGACTTTTCTGGCGACTTCTGCTCCGGGCTTTTGCATGGCAAGAGAGGTTATGACGGCGGCAAAGTCGTCCAAACCGAACAGACATCGATGATCTTCCCAAGGGCCCTTCACTTTCCAGTCCACATTTTCGAGTTTACCCTTTTTGCGGTCGCGGTGCGCTATGCCATGCTCAAAGTACGGTGCAGAGTAGACATTGACAAGATCATAGAGCCAGTTGATGGTGTAAGCACGACGCCAACAGATTCTCTCCTCGTCGGTGGCGCTCAGGATATCGAATTCTGGGTTCCAATAAAGCTGGACTTGCAACGCTTTCGTTGGCTTTCCTGTTCGACCCGCCTTGCGGAAGTCTTCGATGAAAGACACAAGGTCTCGGTAGGCGTAGCTCATGTTCAACTCTTGAGCATCAACTGATCCTTCATCGCAATAGATTAGATTGAGGTCTCTTCCGCCGATGACATTGCGATTGACGCAGTCGATAATCGTTTCGAATGAATCTCTGCCTGGAAACTCGACGAAGATCTCCAAAGCCGTCTTTTGCACAAGGACAACTGCGATCTTGGACAGTCCGACAGCAACGGCGCTGTTCAAGTCTTCGTAAGCGACTTCATTCCAAGCCTCTCTGATCTGGCGTCTCAGATGTAACCACTGGTGTCGAAGTGAAAATACTGCCATGATGTACAGAAGACAGTCATCGCCCTCTAGAAGTCGGTAGCTCTCCATAGGGACGTTCTCCAGACCCGAGTCCGAAGCCGTCCGAGGACCACCTTTGCGGTTCGACTTCTTTGATTGCTTCTTCTTGCCCTTGCGAATCTTCTTTGCGGCCTGCTGATGAGCTGGCGGGCGTGACTCGTCGGCCGAATCTTCGTCAGACTCCATGTCGCCGTCGACTCTGTTGATGCTCAAAACAGAGAACCGATTGGAAAAAAGCATCTCTTCGACATCCTGTTGGCATACGTCGAAGCTTTCGGTTGCTTCGGTGTCTGGCTGAATGGTGCCACCGAATTCCTTGAGGATATCGGTGAGAGCATCGATGAAGTGCTTGTGGGAAGAGTTGCTCTTCACGAGGTCGGCATCTGGATAGGCACTGGCAAACATCTGAAATTGTTCATAATGCAGAGATCGAGCTGAGATGACGGACCGAAGTAGGTGCACGATGCCTTGTGGTACTTTGCGCATGTGTCGAGCGATCAGTTGGCCCATCGCGACAAGTTCCGCGACCGTCGTTTGGCCAGAGGTATTGACGTCGACCCTGACCGACAAGGGCACCTCATCCTGAGAAGTCGGGTATCTCTTGACAATGGAGTTGGAAGTATTGATCACCCAGTAGAGGAGATGTCTTGTGTCGCGTTTATAGGCAAGGTAGGAGTTTTCGGGAGGGGGCTGCCGAGCAGCAGTCTCACGACTGATTTGAGGTGGCATCATTCGGAATTAATCTGCGCGTTGTTAACTCCGAATTGGATGGATATTTGGATGATGAGTATACTTGCAAGCGATCAACCGATATGGGAGCAGATGCGAAGCAGTCGTGTCGAGGAAAGGCATCCGGCATGGACGCATGGGCGAAATTTACACGACAATGTTTGGAAGCCTTTGGCCTGTCGCAAATGGCGATCGAAGTTTCCACAAGGAAAAAAAAAAAAAAGGAAAGTCCAACAGTTGAAATTTTGATTTGACCATTCTTTCCAAGCTGGTCCCGTTTGCATTCAGGTTGATGAGGGTGGCTGCAGTAACCCGAGCAAACACCGAGTGGGTATCGAGACAAATACACAAGGATAGAAAGGCGCAGAACATGAGCTGTCGATGGCCTGCTTTGTTTACTGACCGTTAGCTGAATCATTGCGATACATTTTTAAAGGTGTGAATGAAGCCGAAGAACAGGTGTCTCTACTATTGAAAGAGAGCACATGGCGAGTTCCAAAAAAGGTATCCAACACAGCGGAATGACACTAAAGTAATGTGCAGGCTATGAATTGATTGTGACTGTTCTAAAATAAATTCCAAACACATTGACAAGACGTATGAGAAATTCTCCTCAAAATCTGAATCCCACAGCCTCCTTGCTTCTAGCCTGCATCGCAATCCGCATTCCGAGAAACCATTGCATGAAGCGAGTCGGCAGTAAATATTGATCAAGAAGCATCAAGCCCACATTTGCCCATGTAGCCATGGCTGTGGCGCCACTTGACTGCTGACAGCCGGCTTTCACATCCTCATAACGTTCCTGCTGGTACCTTGCGAAAGCTTGAGAGAGCGATCTAGTATCCCATGGGCTTCCTCCTTCGCTATGGGCCTTCAAAAGAGTGTGAAGATGATTCACCAAGACGACAGTGTCTATCATCCCAAAGTTGACACCGGATCCCGTACTGGGCGTGAACTTGTGGGCTGCGTCTCCGACGAGGACGATCCGCCCGTTCCAGCTCCAGTGTTGGAGAACACCCTCTTCTAGGTCAACTAATCCGGAACCCAGGCGCGCTTCGTACGCGTCTTTCAGACAGACGGGAGTATCGCCTCCGGTTCTCTCCAGAAGTGGCAAATGCCCATACTCCTCCACGAGAGCTGCTTCATCCTTCTCGTTGTAGCGCGTCGATGTGCGCGTGGGTCTGGGCAGTTTCCTGTAAATGCCGGCTGTTGCTGTCTTTTCCCCCACGAAGAGCTGAGTCGCGATTCCAGACCCGTGAGTCTCGGTTGCTGAGCCTGGCTTGCAGCTTGGCAGTCTGTCGGTCGGAAAGCGGATCCACAGCGCTTGGTAGGTTGTGGTGAACGGGTTCACTTCATTGACGTTGAGAATGCCGGAATCGAGTGCCAATTTTCGCATTTCTGTTCGAACCGCGCTGTAAGCACCATCGGCTCCGATGATGAAACTTCCGGAATATTTGGTGCCATCAGTGCAAGAGACTGTGACGCTGTCTGGCGAGTTTTGGATGCCAGTGATGGTTTTGCTGGTGAAAATCCGACTCTGAGCATTCTTCGGCAAGGCTTGGTACAGCGTGTTGAGCAAGTTCTTCCGGCTCAGAACATAAGGGTAATATCCAGTGCTGCAAATATGTGTGTCATCAGTAAGCTATGTTCTGCAGAACCTGTGCTTCATTGCAACATACCTTTCTCGTAGGTATTGAAATACGCGGAATTCACCAATACCTCGACCATTATGATCAATTCGTGAAATCCCTGAGACTGGATTCCAAATCTTCGACAACGGCTCGGAAAGATTCATCTGATCGATAGCGCGCATAGTCATTGGCAATATGGTCATATCGGACCCCTCTTCAACCACAACTTCCTTTCGTCGCTCCAGGAGGATGAAGTCAATGCTTGCCCGTGTTAGAGCCAATGCTGCAGTAAGGCCAACTGGGCCACCGCCGACAATGATAGCTGTAGTTCGCAGATGATCCATGTTTTTGTTGTGGATTCAATGAGAGTAGGAATATGTTGTTGCAACAAATCAGTTGTGTACAGGCGTCAATAAATAGTAAGCTGGATTGACTGCAGACTGGATGATCGGATTGACAGATCAGCGAAGGGACTGCCTTTTTATACACATCATAACACCAATGGATTTCAAATTGAACGAGTAGGACTCATCATTATCCAAGGGCTCCTCAGACTTGTCGATGCACTCATTCATCGGGTTCGGGTTTGCGTTTGGTGGGGCGCCGCCCTTTTGGCCCCGAGAGCCGATCGAAGGAGCTAAGGACCCGAACCCGAGAACGCCACCTTTTCGAGGTCAAGGCAGTGGTTGTGCATCTCACGTGAGCCACTGGTTCTGTATAATCATCCACGAGGTCAATTGAACTGATCAGCTTAGACTGAAGGTCAAAATGTTTACAATGAGTGATTTGGAAAATGATTCTCGATGATCTTGGCCCAGGCCCTGTCTGAAATCCACACACGACGCAGGCCCTCTAAGAAGAATTAGGCTGAGTATACCCATTAAATGGCCACCTTTATGTCTGGCTTTTGCTTATCAGAACCCCCAACGCCTCTATCGATGTACAGCGCCTAGCAATAAAGAAGATAGATCTGAGTGATCATCTACTTGCATTGCTGACAACGGAATACGCAGAAACGAGTGCCACTCAGGACCAAGCTCATGGCAGATGGCCTTTAGGGACTGTTGACCGAAGCCTGCTAGCCACCATACGCCCTGCAGTAGTTTCAGAAAACAGGCATAGTGTGCAATTATCACGAGAGCCCTCGGTCTCCTAGCCCTCGCCAGGTCAACGATACCATTTACCGCTCCGGTGCCCCAGGTGATGATGCGCAGAAGCATGACAGAGTCAATACCCCGGCCCAGGCTGTCGAACAGACAACCCAATGCCCTTAGGCCGTTCTGATATGCTTGGAGTTCGGCGAAGTCAGGATCGTCCCGTTCTACAAATGATATCATGAGGAGTAAGTCCTTAGGAATTGCGGCGGTAGATGCAGTTAGATCCATGGGCGGTCGTGAAAATAAGGGTGCCATTCCAGTCGTCTTGATAGATGATGCGCTGGTGATGTTGATGATGGATTCCACACCTCGCCATAGAAGCATCCAGTCCAGGATGTGGAGATGATTGGACGATACTTCTTCAAACGAGTGCGTCGAAAGAATAGGTCGCAGTACGGAGTTGGCCAAAAGAGCCCCATACGTGCTTGGCTTCGCATCCTCGATGGCCTTGCGATACCCTTCAACGGACCTGGCCTGATACACTAGAGCACGGGTCGGCTCCGTTGCCTGTCCCAGGCTCTGCATATGAAGGCTCGCGAGCTCAAGGATCGAGTTCATCAGGAAGGGCGCCTCAAAGGCATGCTCAACTAGAACTGTCTGTAGCATGTCGTTTATCGGACGCTGCGTATCGTCCACATAAGACAGAGACTTGCATGTGGAGGAGGTGTAGAACCACAGCAGTCTCATATCCACAGCATCGGTGGTTGGAAGACAGATCAAAGGTTCATGGACTATCCTCGGTTTCATTGCGATACGTTCGGACAAGGCAATTGACGTTGCCGGGTAATCTTGAGAAGGCGAAGATGCTGGAGACTTCCTCGAAGCCACGGGTGCGTATTCGCATTTTGTCCGACGTATCCTACAGGAGCGACAGGCTGGGCGGGTCTCATCGCATTTGACCTTGCGTAGCTTGCAGTTGGTACAGCCGAGGCGAGACTTCTTATGCGAGCGCTTCGGAGGAAGATTCATATCGGCTCTTTGTTCGGTGGGATCTGGCACTGTGGCTGTCCCCCGGCAGGGACCCGGCTCTACGCATTCAGATGGAACCGAAAACGTGTCTTCGATCATGATGTGACGTTTGTTCTGGTAGGGACTGACAGGGATTGGAAGCCAGTTCATGCAAATGGGTGTCGAGGGAAAATGTAACGTGCAATGTCCAAGGCGACTTGCATGCGATGACCATAGCGATGCGAGCTCTCTTAGCTTATGTTCGATGAGGCTGAAATGTGTGAAGTGGAATATCGCAGATGGATCATCAGCGTCATAGAGGGAAAGACCGTCTTGGTAGCATCGCGCTAAAACTCGGGTTCGGGTTTTATGCATGTTACCCATGTTGCGTCCGAACGATTTACAAGCCACGTGAGAGGCGACTTCCGTCGAATCGGAGGGTCGAATTCCAGCCCGAGGGAAATGACGCTAACCTCCCGTCGTATTTCAGAGTCTTTGCGATTGGTCCTGATACCAAAAGTCCCTAACCAGCCGTGTTCCGCCTCTTGAAATGGCTAGGGCTTACTCTTGCATTCCATCGCATTGATCAGTGGCTTTTGACTGAGGCACGCTCTTCTAAGCATTTACAACAGTGACCTGCCGCTGCAATTGTACTACTTATAGAGGATGAGGGGGCTTCCCTTGGGCGTTACCTCTGAGGCAGATCCAGCCACATCCTCTCGATACGCGTCTCACCTCACCTGTAAAACTAAGACCTACCTCATCTGCCGCCATGGTCCATTTGGATACCGTCCACGCCATCAATCGCGAGTTGGTACAAAGCCAGAAGCTCGTCGCCGTCTTCACAGGCGGTACTGGAGGCATCGGACCTCTTAGCCTGAAGGCGCTAGCCACCGCCGTCGCGAAACACAATGGGCAGGGTCTGAGAGCCTACCTCGTTGGCCGTAACGCTGATGCCGCAGAGAAGATTATAAAAGAGTGTCGCGTCATTTACGAGGCAGGCGAATATCACTACATAAAAGTCGAGGATTTATCACTCGTTGAACAAGTAGACAAGGCCTGCGCGGAGATCATCTCCTGTGAAGAGCGCAATGCTTCAGCTATAGGCGAGACTGCGCGGATCGACTTCCTCTTGCTATCTCATGGAGGGACCATATTTCTGCCAAGACAAGGTACGATCCACCACGAATACCGCCGTTTATGATACGATTTAGTTAGGCTGACCTTCATTGCGTGTTTTCACTCTCAGACACTAAGGAGGGTCTAGACGGGACCATGGCCCGCTTCTACTACAGCCGCATCGCATTCATCACGTCGCTCATGCCTCTGGTCCTAAGGTCGTCGCTTCCAGCCGCCGTTGTATCTATCTACGCCGCAGGCATGGAAGGCAAGCTCTACCCCGATGACCTTTCACTGCGCGACCTGTCTCACTACAACTATTCGCAAGCGCGATCACACGCTTGCTACATGCACACTCTCGTTTTCGAGGAGTTGGCAAAGAGGCACCAGGGCAAGCTACGCTTTACCCATATCTATCCCGGGCTCGTTGTCCACGAGGGCATGGGTAACCCAACCAATCCCTGGTGGATACGCATCCTATTCACTAAGGTCCTGCCATTTCTCGGCGTGGACGTGGACCTGGAAGAGTCAGGGGCTCGGATGGTGTCGTTGGCATCGCCATCTTACTACCCGCCGCAACGTCTTGACAGCATTGGCGAGGTCAGCAGTTCTGCCATTGCTGGAACCGATGGACAACCTGGAAGTGGCTCGTATATGTTGACTTGGAATGGTGAGAGCTGTTATGCTGTGAAGAAATATGCTTCGGTGGACAAGGACGCGCTAAGGCAGAAGCTGTGGGATCATAGCAACGCCGTGCTGGAAGTTATCCGCGCTGGTAAGGTTTTCACGGAGTGAGGACATTCTAAAACATGTCCATGAGAAGTATGTACCTTCTGTAGATCAGTGACGGGGCAGGAGCCTAGGATGAGATGGAGGCTATGAACAAGGTTGCGGTATGTATTGTTTCTACATGAATGCTAGTACACTGCATTAAGTTTCCAACCAACTGCTAGCACTCTGGCTGCAATGTAACAGGCGAGGGATACAACATATGAAAACCCGGAAAACAAGATCAAAGCTGTCCATGCCGTCTCTTGGTTTTTGATTCCCAGCAGCAACCCACCAAGTGGAATGCCAAGAAGGGTTCCGAAGCTGGCGGACAGCATCGCTGTAGATAGGAACCGCCCGTAATCTCGAGAATCGCAGAGCTGTCCGATGCAAGCCGGAATGAGGCTCACGTTGCCTCCACTAGCGAAACCGAATATGAAGGTGAAGACAAGCAACGCTGGCCATGAGCTACCCGCCGGTAGCCAGATAGCGAAGACGGATATCGTGCACAGACCGACGGTGAGGACGATGGTGTTGAAACGTCCAATTTGATCGGCAACGAACCCAGGTAATGCTCTCCCAATGATACTACCTACGTTGATCAAAATGGGCAGTAAATAGTTTGAGCTTGCATCGCGCCCTTTACTCATGGAAAAAGAGATGATATACGTGAGCGGAATCAGAACCCCGTACTCCATGAAGAAAACACCTCCACAGCAAAAGGCGAACTTTGGTTCTCTGAAAAGCCGTATATCCGGCCAGATGGAATCGAACTTTTCGCTTGGTGGAAGACGTGTTCTCATCAAAAGATTTGTTGGTACTGCGAAGATGAGGTAAATCAGGCCAAGTAAGCGCATGCTCCATGCGAAACCGAATCTCGGCAGAGCAGCTTGCAATACAAAGGGGAATACGACGCCCCCGAATGAACCACCGGTTGCTGCGAGACCCATCGCAAGGCCTCTCCTGGTATTAAACCAGTGCCCAATGATGGCCAACGACGGAGTATTGAGAAGGGATGCACCAAGACCGGCCATGATGGAGAAAGTCAGGATGATCTGGTAATATTCTAACGGGAATCAGTCAGTGATCATTGAGTAGTGATTAGAATGCTCTTACCTGTGCAGAAGCTAAGAATCTCTAGACTGGCAATCATTACCAGACTCCCTGCCGCAACCAACCCTCGATGGCCGTACCTGTCAAAGGCTGGCCCGGCTAGAATTCCAAACAGGAACAAAACAAAGAGATATATCGAGAATATCCACCCTAACTGAGAAGGGTTGTATTCACTCAATTGGTTCTCGGAGAAATAGGATTCAAACACGGCTGCAGTATTGGGCAATCCGAATACAGACACCATGGCGCAGAAAGAACCCAGAACCACGCACCAGCCCTGCAATCCTCCTTCAGGATATGTAAGCGGTTCCTCAAGATCTTCTTGTGGCAGGCTTGGGTTCGTGTCTTCCCTAGAGGCCGGCACCGCTTCGTTCTTCATTTTGGCATCTTCGACACCTTTTCCGGATTCATCGCGGATGGAGGTTGATTGCGATGTAGTTGACTCTTGCAAGGCGATCTCCGATGTCATGTTGAAACCACTTGAAGCTGGTTTTCTGAAATGACGATTCGGTTAAAAAAAAAAAAAAGAGAGTCTTTCGATGCAAAGAAGTAACTAAAGTCACGGCCACGACATGTGATCACCATTTCAGTCGTAAATGATAATCTGGGGCCTGATGTCGATTGTCCGTGTCTTGAGACTTCACCGCTATGTTCTCGATGCCCGATGTTTTGAAATACTAATTGAGAGACGGCATTCATCATGAGCGCGGCAGAGAGGATGATCGGGATTCCAAATGTCCGGCTGGTTCTTTTTCCTTTTCGGGTCAAATTATTGTACCCCACTTTCGCGGAGTCTCCGCCAACTGAGGTGGTGACACATGCGTTGAAGCTAAAATATTCCGCGGTTCGGAGCCCCGAGCAAAGCCCGTACACATCAAGACTACTGATTCGATTCGATGCACTGTGACTTCGGTTTATTCTCATTCGCCGTTTTTTCCCTCTGCTTTGTGCGAGGTTGAGAGGGGTTTAAATGGACTAGAGTTGGGTTGTAGCGGGATGACGGTTAACGGTTACAGTTAGTGTCCGCAGCGTGTTGAGCCACACCAAGGTGGGCTGCTTAATTTCTCCAAAAGTGGAAATATACTGAACCTTTTGATTATAAATACTGCGAGAACCTGACGTAGAAGCAAAATTAATCGGCTGCGCAAGTACTGTCTCTGTGTCGATTGAATGTTTGGATCTTACTTTTCTTTTCTACCCTATTCTATGGTTTGGGTCTTACCTCTACCTACTAGGTACCTATTCCACATCGGGCAGTAGTACCAACTCAAGGTCACACACCGATTCAGTAGCAGCAGAAGTGCCCACTAAGCATCAACGGAATATGAATCGCGGGGTCGCAGCGCCTGCGTTATGGCAAATTCCTATATATGCAGCCAACTTCTTCGAGTGCCGATCTTTCAATTGATGATATCCCGAGTTCGTTTCACGAATTGACGCACACGAAACCAACACCCATCATGACTATCATTGCAGTTGCTGGTGGCACAGGACCAGTTGGGCGAACCATCGTCGACGGTCTGGTTCAACACGGCGGACACAAAGTGTTTGTGCTTTCAAGAGCGATGAGCAAAAGAAGCGCATTTGACTGTGTCGTGAGCACACACGCCAACATTTCTCACAGACTCGTCCGCCCCAAGATGGAGTCGAATACCTCGCGGTCAATTACCCGGACATTGAGGGAACCGCCAAGATTTTGGAGACCAACAAAATCGACACAGTCATTAGCGCTATGGGTGTAGTCACAGCAGAGATCAGCGTATCCCAGGTTCAGCTGGTTAAAGCCGCCGACAGATCAAGCACGACCAAGCGCTTCGTAGTCAGTGCTTATGACATGCTGCACAAGCGAGAGTACGTGGCCAAGCATCTGGATGGTAATACGTGCATGAAGCTAAGACTCAACAGGCATATTGAGGACAGCCCTCTTGCCAAGTTCGTCTTTGAGGCAATTGATGAGCTGGATCGCACCAATCTGGAGTATACTCGGGTAGTCAACGGGTTCTTCTTGGACTACTTCGGCATGCCGCACTGGAAGACGTACATGCACCCTTGGGTCAACATGGTGAATGTGGAGAAGAAGTGGGCTGTCATTCCCGGAGACGGCTCTGCAAAGGTCAACTTCATCGCCTCGCAGGACATGGCCAAGTTCATCGCTCGCCTGATGGACCTGGACAAGTGGGATAAAATCAGCAGCATTATCGCGGAGACGCGGTCGATATCCGAGATCCTTGAGATTTCCGAGAAAGCACGAGGTATGTCCGCTTCTAAGAACCGTCTGAACGCCTAGCAATACTGATTAACAACTAGGGGCGAAATTTCGTGTCGCTTATGATGACCTTGAGAAATTGAAGTCGGGCAAAATCTCGTTCATTTCAGACTTCCCGGACATAGGCCTGGGCGAAGAGGAGTCGGAAAAGCTGTTCGCAATTTTACACTATTATGCGGGGACTGAGCAGTTTCTCGTACCGAAGGAAACCAATATCAAGCCCAAGTTTCCGGACATCGTCACCAAGACGGCAGAGGAAGTCATTGAGGGATCATGGAAGGGCAAATGATAGTAACGGACATGTCAACATCACGTAGCAATTCTAGTTTTCAGCATTCACACTTTGACGGGAAATTCACTTTGGAAGCAAAGCCAATGAATCGAAGTAAAATTCATGAGTCAGCATAAGATTCTGAGAAGTATAAAAGTGACCATCATCACCCATTCTAAACAGTTGATCTCGCATGATAAAGTGCGGGTAGACTAGATCCTTCCTTCGTTGCCAGCTTCCCCAACGTACCGCAAAGCTAAAACCTGCTGGTTTCACCGACGAATTTGCTCAACCTTTCATGCTTTCAGTAAAACAAGACATGTTTTCAAGTGCGACAACTCTTTTTGACTTAGCTAGCTTCTCGGTCTGTTCGAGCCATTGTGCTTCACCTGCACTGAGCATATTTCAACTGGAGCTCTATGCAGCCTTTGAGGGACAAAACCAACGCAGGATAGAACCAAGACTGGCATGTTAAAGCTAAACAGCAGATTCTTCTTTCGGTACCCTACATAAGCAGAGTCCCCCCCGACATAATGTGTGTAATCTGGGCTACCTTATTCTAGATAAAGCAGCATACCTCCGCTCGGCGCATGCATCACCAATCTGTCTTTTACTGATCACAGCACCGCATACAGATATCTGCGTGACATCTCCCTATATCGGTTTCGTCATATCATGTGCCAAGACATTTTCTATACGTACGACTGTGGTCATCGGATACGCAATACTCCGACTGTGATTCGCTGCGAAAGGTGCGTTAAGTCTGGCTTCGATTGTTAGTATCGATCAACAGGCAAAGACGAGAAGTTACCAGGCGGCGCAGGGCTATGCCGCGACTGCCTGCAAAAGTGGGAGCAAGAGTCCCCAGGTGTCGTTGTAGACGTCGCCAAATCAACAGTTGAATCGATAAATGGGTTTTGGAAGAGGGCTGTAACGAGCTTGGGTGGTCTTGCGAAAAGTTTGATAAGGACCATTTCCAAGACAAAAGCGGGCACGGGAACTGACAGGGAGGATGAAGGAAGTCTCTGAAGTCCAAAGAATCAAGTATTTACAACGACCAATGCTTCAAAAGTGGCAAAGTTCAAGGCAAAACAAGGCAGAATCTACTCTAGCTTCACGATGATTAGAAACGTCAGCCACCACGGCTATCTCAATGGCAGAATCGGCTTATTCATCATCGTTTAATCCAATCTATCCCTATATTTTGCGCACCCAACCCTAGCTTCTCTTGGGCCACTGTCAGAGCCGGGCCCTGATTTTCTGGCCCTCAAGCTCATCTTCCGCCTTCTTTCGAGAGTCTTGCCAAGACTTGGTCTTAGCCGTTCCCATCGTAGCCCAAATATCTAACAGATTGTCGTCAAACGGCGGCAACACACGGCCAGTTGTGCCTGGTTCAGGATCGCCTGCAACTGATCTGAAGTACTCGAAGACTGTCTTGTAGTCCGGCGCGATGGTGTAGTATGCCTTGCCGCCTCCGAGCTCGGCAACGCGCTTTCGTTCCCATTCTTTCTGCTCTTCCTTCGATGGCAACGGATTTCCTCTACCAGCAAGAAGTCGAGCGACAGCGACAGCTTGCCATTCGAAAAGTCTGAACGTAAAGCCTCCACCACACTGTTTGACGTTAGCAACCCGGTCATGCGGGAGTAAAGAACGCCACTTACCATGCCGAGGAAAGCGAGCGTCGGGTCCTCAATATCCCACGTGTGGTAGTAAACACCCGGCAAGCGGCGGTCAGCTTGCACCACTCTCTCCTGCACTTTAGGCAGAAATGGGAAGCTGAATGTGTAGCCAGTGCCAAAGATTACATGATCGACATCCTCTGCTTTGGTGCCATCTTCGAACGTGATGGTCCCTGTCTTGGAGCAGAAGTGAACGATTTGCTTTTGAATCGAAATGTGAGGATGCGTGAAAGGTTCCCAGCCGAAGTGCGGAATTGGATCGCCTCGAAGAGAAGCGTAGACCGGGTGCTGCGCGACCGGAAGGACTTCGTGGAGAAGCTCGTGTGAGGAAACGGATCCTCCAACAACAATCACTTTCTGGCATCTTGTGAGCTAAACAACTCCCAGCGGGGCAGTAGAGTGGGTGAGTGGTGTACCTTGCCCTTGTATTTATCAGAGCCTCTGAAGTGCTTGCTGTGCACAATCCTTCCCGGGAATCTCTCATCGTACTCGGCGATTCCCTTGATGTCGGGTATCCAAGGAATGTTGTAATGGCCAGTTGCAACTACAATGGCATCAAATCTCTCTTGCCACCATTGATCCTTTCCTGGAAGCTCTTTCCGCAGGGTGAGAACCCACTCATCGCCCTTCTTCTCCGCAAGTTCGACTGTGGTACTGAGTTCGAGCAGCTTCTCGTGACCATTTCGCACAAAGATGTCTTCAACCCAGTCCCTGATTTGACCGCGACCCCGAAACGGAGCATCATCGCCGTACTTCTCTCGGATGCGATCAGTCAACGTCTCGGGGAAAGGCTCCGTGGTGAAGCTCATGATCTCGGGTGTGATGTTTGTATGCAGATGCTCATGCTGGGCTGTGTCTGAGAAGCGGATTTGGTGACTGTTGACGGCTTCTGACTTTTCGGTCTGCGCTGGAAGCTGCGTTGGGATGGCGACGGGGGCGTCAGCGTTTCCATCGAGGAGCTTGCGCAGGGATGGGATTGCTGCTGGTAGATGAGGGGTGTAGATCCTATGTTGTGTGAGTTAGACTTCCCATCCTGGGCTTGAAGTTCGTTCGTGGATTTGAGTTACCATGTGCCGCCCGGAACGGCCCGCCGATCAAAAACTCGGACGGTGTCAAAAGCTTGTTCCTTGACCAAGGCGTCGGTTGCGATGGCACCGCTCGGTCCGGCGCCAATCACAGCCACCCGGCGAATCTTCCCAGCCATGATGATCGACTTTGGTCCTTATTGAGCGATGTTGTTTTGCTTTACGCCACTTACACCTGCTCATGAGAGAGTGAAAGTTTGAAATGCCAGGGAAACTGGCTGAAAGTTGATTCACAGTTCAATCAACACCTCTTAAAGTCGCTGAAGAGGTCAGCGCACAATCATGCGCGCTTATCTGACCCAATGGTTTGTTGGTTGATTGCGCCACGGGTGTTAGAATTGCGTCTTCATGGAACACGAGCACGTCAGGTGGGTCGGAAGACTCCCCGTTTCCCCAACGGGAGCAACCCCATGTCGCGGAAGAGTGAACGCATCTTGACATCAAATAGGGTGTGAGCTTTTATGAAAAGTCTCCCCATTCCACGTAGAATCCTTTCCGGGGGTTCACCGTTGCGGCCGTCGGCGCCGATGTCGCCATTCCGGTGGGTTCCCGGGTGCCCCGGTCGGCAAATTGCGTGCGCAGCTGACTATCGGCCTCCGCTAAGAAGTATTGTGCGAGCCTTAACGAACCACTTCAGTTCAATTTGCGCGCAAAGACGAGACGATTCCGATTGGAATAAGTGCCGTACACTTAACTCGGCTTTGAGGGTCGCCACACCATTCTAGAGTATATCGGATATCAATCCTTGAGCACAACCGCGACCTTCTCTCCATCCTTGCCCTCCACCGTCTCCACTTCACACTTATAATCCTTGAACTGCCTCGCTGGTACGCCCTTCTGGAACATGTCTTCCAGCTCAAGGTAGCTGCGGCCCTTCATCTCAGGGAAGCAGAAAAACAGGTAGACGGAGCAGATCAAAGACGGGGCAAAGAAAACGAATGCTACCTTTCCACCCAGGTTTGCGTTGCTCGGATTTATCAGAAACGGGATAAGCTGGGTAACAAGACAGCCTGCCGAGGTGTTGCTCATGATCGTGATTGAGTAGGTCTTTTGACGCAGGCGGGGTGATGGTGTTTCGCCCCCCACAGCAAAAGCAACCGCGCCGATAGATAGTTGATACTGAGAAGAGAATGAGATGTTGAGCGTCAATTTTTGGCTAAAGTAGGAGGAGACTTACGAGGAAACCCCAAAGAGCCATAAAAGCCACGACTGCAGCAAGCGCCTGCTGGTTGTTCTCAATCACGCTTAAACCTCCGATCAGGAGCAACAGCGCTGACATCGAGATGATGCCCCAGACGATAAGAGGACGTCGGCCGGTGCGTTCCACGAGAAACCAGGAGCAGATGTTTCCGAGGAGCTGGATGCTGTAGCAGACTTGGGCGATGCCGATTGGGTTGCCTACACCGGCAATTGTGAAGAAGTAACTGTGTTTGCCAATCAGTACTGGGTGTCAAAGAAAGGAAGGAAGGAACTTACGGAAGGTAAGATGCCACAAAGTTACTGCCAGCGAGTTGTTGCGCGAGATAGACGACGACCACGATGGTGGTTCGGCGAAGATTAGGACCCTTGAAGCACTCGAGATAGGATGCACCTCTGTCGTTGAGCTCCTTCTCCTTCTCGAGTGTAGTCTCCATGATGGCCAGCGTTTCCTCGACATTGTGCTTCGGACCGTTAAACTTACGCAATGCCTTGGCGGCTTCTTCCCTTCTTCCCTTCATCAGGAGCCAGGTGGGTGACTCTGGCAGCAAAAGGCCTCCCAGGACGAGGACCAAAACGGGTGGCACCAACTGAGTGAAAACAGGCAGCCTCCATCCCCAGTCACTTTCGATGAAAGAACCACCGTATCCGACCAAAGCGCAAGACCATTGTCCGAGAACAATCATGGTGTTGATCAGGATGAGATCATGAGACACACGCCTCTGAGAGAGTCTGGGGCGATCTCTGCGACGTAGACCGGTCCGAGGGTGTGGCCCAGCCCGTAGCCGACGGTGCTGATGAGCTTTCCACCAAAGAGCATCATGATAGAGTTCGAGAAGCCTTGTACCATAATCCCGGCGATGCAGAGACCGCATCCAAGGAGTACGACAAGACGGCGGCCGATGATGTCGGAGATAAAACCGGTTGTGTACGCTGCTACGAAGACGCCGATTGTGGTTGAAGCGTTGAGGATCTGCTGATCATGGGTGCTGATTTCTTTCGCACCGGTGGCTGTCGTAACTCCAAATTTGTTCAAGAAGGAGGGAATCGCGAGGATGTTTCCGACCAAGGCGAGCTCGTAGCCGAAGTTGATTGGCAAGATGAAGATGAGGAGGCCTGTTTATGGAGACATGAGTGACTTAGGCCGTAGGAAACAAATACCGGCATGATCAAGGGTCGGACTTACACCATGATAGAACTCTCTTGTTTTTGGAGAGCTCTGCAAAGCCGGAGGTCGGCTTCTCCGTCGTGGTTGACATTGTGGTTGATCCTGTCGCGCTACTGCTGATGTGTAACACATGGAACAGTGAGAGTAAGGCAAGCAACTTCTGGTTGCTCCATCATGCAATAGAATGAAGGCCCTCCGCAACATACTTATAATTTACGCGGTCCAGATTTAGTCTGTACACAATGCTCCCCAACTTCTTAAGCCATCGAACCACATGTTTCCCCATGGGCAGACTCTGAAAGCCCCCACATCGCATGCTGCGATCCCCGCAAACCCACCGAATTGACTCACGTCATTGGCCGACACTATTTCTCCGCGGAGGATTGTCGATATCCCGTCGTTTCTGTCCGAGTCAGCTGCCCCTTAAAATACTTCCTTCAGCACACTTGCTCGGCGATTCGGAGAATTGAATTGACAATACACTACAACCCGAAATCCAGATTACTGCAGATGACAAAACGAGCGTGCGATGGGTGCAGACGGCGTAAGGTCAAGGTGAGTTGCTAGACTAGGTTGTTGTTTTTCTATGCGTTGCTGATTGGCATAGTGCGATGGGAAGGAGCCTCGGTGCTCGAATTGCTCCATGTCTTCTCTAGCATGCGAGTACACTGTCCCAGCAAAGAAAAGAGGCCCTCCGTTCAAAATACACAAAGACGCGAATGAGCGCCGAGCCCGAACTAGCAATGCTGTTCAGCAGACAATGGCCGAGGGCGCCTCGCCAGAAATTATCGACAGTTCACCTGACAACGACGCCGGTGCAGAAGTTATCTGCTTGAGTACACCCAGCGTTACAACCGAGATCAGAATCAGCCCCTTCCGCGAGGCGCAAGACGAGCTTCTCTCAGCGCTCGGAAAGGCGCTGCCATATGCGCCGTTGGAGCACGTTCTCTCCACCTGCATCGACCTCTACATGCAATGGGAGTTTCCCACAGGTCCGGTGATCTGCGAGCCAATAGTGCGTCAAGCCGTCCCCATCGTCGTCCCAATTCTCCGGGGCGAAACGGCGATTCCCAGCAGCTTGGTTGCCGGGCCCTCCACTTCGGACGTATCGACCATCCGTGCCTTTGCACTGTTGACAGGCATGTGCGCGTTTGTAACGTCCAGTTTGCCGAGTGACTTCTTCGCGCCAGGCAGCGCGTTGGCATGGCCTTTTCTCAGGACGTCACGCGAGGCTCTTCGGTTGTATCAGGACTATGACGTCGAGCATCCAGAAAGCAGTTCGGTGATTATCCGGTACTTCCACTCGAATGCGCTTCACGCGCTGGGAAAGACAAGGGTTTCGTGGCATGTTATGGGCGAAGCTCTGCGTCTTGTCCAGGAGATGCGTCTGTATGATGAGACGAGCTTTGCAGGACTCGAGTGGCCCGAGGCCCAGCTGAGGAGGAATGCGTTCTGGCACCTTTACATTGGTGACAAGTCTGCCTCTATCCTGCAGAAGGTGCCTATTTCTCTGCATCAGATGTGTCTGGATACGCCCATCACGACGATCTTCGACGAGAACATGGCATGCGGACTAATGGACTCGGCGCATAATTCAAGTAACGTCGCCTTCGAAGACCAACTACGCGTAGGCTTTTATCTCTGTTTCCGCCTCTGGTACACAGCGTCAGAAATGCTCATCGACCTGAACCTCCTGACTCGGCTCCAAAACAGAAGCAGCTCCGCCGCCACAACCTCCCCAGATACCACGACTCTGAGAAGCAGCATCATGCAGTCATACTTCGACTTCACGAGCATCCTGCATAACTGTCCACCTTGGATAAGAGACCCTTATTCCAGTCCAGATACGACATCGAACGAAGCCACCGTGCGATTTCGAAGTCGATCTTTTGCCACGCAGAGGGCAAACCTCTTTGTGACGCTACATGCATTGCGCCTTGTGCTTCTATGCCGGTTCGCCGATCGTGGGTTTGCCGAGATCCTCGGGCTTATCAACGATCCGACGATGTTGTCCCTCCGGAAAGTGGAGATTGCGAGTGACCTGGTAGAGATTGTCGCCGGATTGCCATTTGAAGCGCTGCAAGCTAATGGCGAACCATGCGTAAGTCCTTCTTAACGATAATTGAACCTTCACTTCCGCTGACACTCTACCAGGTCGAGAAACTCCGCCAAGTCGGCGTGGCCCTCCTCGAAATAATCCACAGCGTGACCAACGACGCAATCTCCGCCCGCGCCAAGTCCCTGTTTAGTACGCTTCTGGACGTCCTCGCGCGACTCAATTCCAGAGTCTCGGACGAGCTGAGCAATGACCGCTAGTTATGGCCAGGTACTCTTCAGGAAGCCTGGACTTGTCTTTCTCCGCGCCAAGTGGGTTCTGCTCCAACATCGGAGGTGGGCTGTCTGCGTGCATAATCCTCCGCGGAGAATTGGGCCCGCAACCCCCCATCTCGGTGTATCCCCACTACATGACGCGCGGGGTGGTTGCACTCGCGGTATAAGGTTGAGGTGCCGACGGGCGGCAGAGGCAAGATGGTTGAGGCAATGACCTGATTTAGCAAGCTTCGCAGCCGGAAGACATATCCCGCGATGGCAGAGACGAAGACATTCCGCAACCCCATCGTCCCCGGCTTCGCGCCCGATCCGTCCGTGGTCTTCGTCGACGGGGTGTTTTATCTTGCCACCTCGTCCTTTCACGTCTTCCCCGGGATCCCGATATATGCGTCGACGGATTTGCAAGAATGGAAACACATCGGTTTGTGCCATTCTCAGTATCTCAGGATGTCTCCCAGGGCCGTGACTAATAAGGAATTCAAAGGCAACGCGATCAACCGCAAAAAGCAGCTCAGCCTCGAGCGCGCCGAGACAGCCGTGATGCCCCTCGACACGGGCAACATCATGGTATCATCCGCAGGCCTATTCGCCCCCTCAATTCGACACCATGAGGGCAGGTTCTACATCATCTGCACCAACGCAACCCGCCGCGGCGGGGAATTTTGCCTGGAGAACTTCTACGTCAGCACCGCCGACATCTGGGCTGGCGAGTGGTCTGACCCGATCTACTTTCCCTTTCACGGCATCGACCCCAGTCTGTTCTTCGACGACGACGGGAGGGCGTACGTGCAGGGGTGCTGGATGATCGATCGCCTCAAGCAGCCGAGCTGCACGATCAAGCAATTTGAGATCGACATCAAGACGGGCGAGGCCCTTTCCGAGGTCAAGGAGATCTGGGGCGGGTTTGCGAGGTACGATACCGAGGGCCCGCATTTTTATAAGCGCGGGGAGTGGTACTATCTGCTGGTGGCTGAGGGCGGGACGTTTGAGCATCACATGTTGAGTATCGGGCGCTCGAAGAGTATTTGGGGCCCGTTTGAGTCGTGGGAGGGGAATCCGATCATGACTGCGGATGGGAAGGCGGAGTATGTGCAGAATGTAGGACACGGAGAGCTCTTTCGGGATGGGGAGGGGAAGTGGTGGGCTGCTGTGTTGGGGGTGAGGCATGAGGATGGGGCGCCGCCTTTGGGGAGGGAGACGTTTTTGACGGCGGTGGAGTGGCCGGAGGGAGGGTGGCCAAGTGTGCAGCAGCCGAGGATGGACTTCCAGCGCGAGGTGAAGGAATCGATTGGAGCGAGGAAAGATCTCCCGCCGTCGCCGAGGGACGTTGATCTGGTCTACATCTGGGATCCTGATTTCGACAAGTACGAGTTCAGCGGAGAGGGTGAGGGAAGAGTATTTCGCCTCCGGGCCAGCGGTTCCAGCATCTCATCGCCATCCGGCACAGCTACATTCATTGGAAAGCGGCAAAAGGAAATGGACGCGAGTGCCTCGGTCACATTGGACCTTTCGGCGACGAAGTCGGGAGACCCCGTCGTTGCAGGCCTGGCTCTGTACAAAGACGCGCTGCGTCATGCTTCTCTCGCCTATGATTTTGGGTCGTCGCGGCTAGTATTTGATGTCACAACCACATCGGAAGACAAGAAGCAGAGCGTCTCCCTGGCTGTTGGCTCGGGAGCAACTTCACTGAGCTTCCGGATTGAGACGTCGGCGAAGGAGTACACGTTCTTTTACCGGGAGGACGACGACAAGGATTGGAAGCAAGCGGGGTCGGCACGTGTAGCAGATCTGGTCGCAAGAGAGATGACGGGACCGATCTTTGGGTTGTTCGCCCATGCTTTGGGGGCCGAGGGTGTTGGAAAGGAGACAAGATTTTACAAATTCATTGTGGAAGGACAAAAGAGCTTGGTGTGGTAGATGGTAAGACCGAGGCACTTAGGCAAAGCCTGGAGATCAGGAATAAAGCATTTGTGGCGAGTCGACTCCTTTGAGATTAATTGTCTCTGCGCTCAGTTTCAAGTAAATATTTTGATGTAGAAAACAGATCATCGCGCATGAGGTTGACTTCAAGCCTCCTCATTCGTGGCTATGAAATGCCGAGGTTCATGACGTAATCATGCCAACGACCATTCACCCCTCCATAAGCAACATCCCCCTCCTTTCGTGAAGATATTTCTACGGTGTTTAGTTCACATTCGCCAGGATACTTCGTCAGACTCATCGTTGCTTCAGACTTGACGATACGGACTCGTTGACCAGGATGGATCCTGCCAAACTTCCGCCCTGGAACCTCCCAGAGGGCGTCACGTCTCGGTTCGTCGACACGTCTCCAAAGGGCCTCAAAGTGCATATTCTCGAATCAGTTCCTCGGAGCAATTCATCGGAATCCCAAGCCCCCCTAATGCTCCTACTTCATGGTTTCCCTAATCTGTCGTACGACTGGCGGTACATCTTGCCGCTGCTCGCGAACGCGGGCTATCACGCCGTAGCTCCGGACATGAGAGGCTTCGGAAGAACCCACAATTCCGACCTCAGCCCGATCGAAGAGGAGACCATTCGCCCTGTCTTCTCAGTTCACGACGTGGTGTCGCTTCTCGAGGGCTTACGCTACGATTCTATCCACACGATTGTCGGTCACGATCTCGGGGCCGTGCCGGCATCGCTCACGTCGATAATACGCAAGGACTTGGTCAAGTCGCTTGTTCTCATGGCGCACCCGTTCAAGGGCATTCCGGGTCCTTCCGCCAACGATGATAAGGC